AAACTTTACTTCCTGCATACTTCTCTGCATATGCAATATTTGATACAATGGCTGCAAGGGTTATATGGTAATTTGTCCATTTAATTTTTACGCTTTGGTTGTTGCACAGATTATTTTAATGGAAAGTACTGTAATATGCTAATTAGTGAGCTTTAGAGGTGGTGATAGGTGTATTGTGTAACCAATAGACAGAGCCAGGATAGATACTACCTGTGTCCCTTTACTGTAGTTTCTCTGGTCTGAGAAGTCATTTAAGCAGAATACCAGCATTAAGTTACAGCAAAGCGCTTCATGTTGAAAATCAAAAGACATCACAGTCTTTTAGTATCTTTAGAGACACAATACCCCTGGGTGATAATAAAGTAGTATAGTGACTTTGAGTTACATTTATAGTAATATAATGTCGTTGGGATGTAATGATATTTCTAATTTTGCAATATCGCAATAGAAAATTTTCTTGATACCATTGTGGGACTGTAGTGGTATCTACCAATATATTACATATGGTCATTTCACTTGTAAAACTGCATTGAGGTCACAGAATTTAACATAGAGGATGCTCCATCGTCGACTTTTAGAGCTGTTGTGTGGCAGCATTTCAGTTTTCCCATTTCAAAGAATGACGGTGGCAGGAAGGAAACTGACTGGCCCTGTTTATGACTGAAACAGTCCTGGATACATCTTGCAGAAACAGTCACTACAAGATTGTACACTACACTTTAACAGAGATTGGCAAACAAACCAGATGCACATATCCAATAGCATCCACTTACTAACCATGAACCATGCTGCTTGTAAACACCTCCAGCAAAGCACAAATCTTTATCTGGCCTGTCCACTAACCACTGGTCGGCATGCCCACCACACAGAAAAAGTCCTAAAACACTGATGTTCTACCATGGGTGTGGCTTGTTTTGTTAACAAGATCCAATTGATTGTTTTTATTGTATTTCATGAGAGGACTGCTACTGACTGCTGCATTATATTTGCAATTGTACAATCAGGTCAGTCATTCAGTACCAATGACACTTTATTTTATCTTTTTTTTTTTGCATAAATTGTAATATGGTATTGTGGTTTCATGACTTTTTAGTATTGTTACATCCCTATAATGCAGTGTTCTCAGTTAAAACTATTGTGTCCAAATTGTATACATTTCCTATATTATTGGAAATAAAACATGACAGGGTAGTCATAACTGCAGAAATACTTATATCAATGTTATGTTGCTCTCTGCTTTACATTAAAGGTTTCTTTGACACAACATCCATCATTTTCTTCTTGGGTGCGAACGTTTCCAAAAGGCAAAACAAAACTTATTATTCCTCTCCTGTTACTTGGATCTACCATCCGACTGAAGAAGGAATCCACTAATTGGCACCAATTTAGCCAGAAAGACATAACAGACATCACCTGTGACAGATTTCTATCAGAAGTACTAGAGGAGCCGCTGAGGTCCTGTCTGTGCTGCTTTAAGATGCACTGAGCTGTCCGTGTCTGTGCCAGGGTTCAAAAACCCTTTGATTTGTTGGTTTGTTTTGTGTTCTGTGCTTCAAATATAATCACATAACGTTCTGTATGAGCCAAAACCGCAACATCACAGCAGCTTTATATATTTAGACCCTTTAGCCAGCTCATTTACCACAACACGACACCCACAGCTTAATTAGCTCTGTCAGCATCATCTGCATTTCTAAATGTTTTCACTGCATTCTCGAGTAAAAGACACATTTTCTCGGCAATTTAGTCAGTTACTTATCTGAGCATAGCTACGGGCCTTGTTGTCTTTATCTGCAGTCTAGCACACCATATCACTGTGTACTACAGAACCTGTAGTCCTGCTCTGCATAGCTTTAGTGCCACAATGCCCACTGCTCTACAGGACAGAGGGATGTGTAGCGGAACAGATCTTTTCCACAGCTGGAATTTTGACTAGTAAAACACAGGTGTAACCAAGAGCACCCAGAGAGTGCATGTACAGTACCTCCACCAAGGTACAACGTTCACTCACGGAAATCAGTCCCTTATGAAGAAGGAGAACAACACAAAATGTGTCCTAAGATCCTTGATCCGCACCAGATCCAGATAATCTTTTAAGGTATGATAGGCAGATACAGTATACTGTGCATCTTGTCGGAACACTTCAGGCTTCTATCTTTATTATAGGCCAAGTTATGGCAAAAAAAATGTGTTAAATGGGGAAATCACAAGGTCAGACATCAAGGCCCATTTGCTCCTGGTGTTACCATGTGATCTGTAACTGGTAAATTATCTCAATAATGACATTGAATCTATTGGATTCTACATTTACAGTACACCGAGTATTAATAAGAATTCTTATGTCTTGTTATGTTCATTCTGTCCATTCTGCTGCTTGTTGGCTCCCCATCAGTTTCTCCTTACCTTTCCTTACCCAGAACTCCAAAGTACCCTTGATCAAGTGAACAACACATCTGAAAGTAGTTTGATAAACTGATTGTCAGCATAACTGAAGGTGCTTTATTTGAAACAATAGCAGGCACTGATGTGATGCAGTAAGCAAAACAAATTCCCACATAAACATGATTTGAGGGTGTAAATAGCCTTTTGCACATGGTAATTAGGCCAAAATGCCCTCACCCAGGTCCACCTGTTCTCACTTGCTTGACTATTGCTGCAAATAATATATACTACAAGCTGTTTTGTGTCCATGGGAACACAACAGAAGGAAATATGAGAAAGTTTGTTGCTAACAAAATCTAAATGATAAGTTATTCTCTGCAAAGGTCACAATCACTTAGAATCACAGTAGCATGAAGGAGTAGGAGCAATTTTCCTTGGTAAACTTGATATAGTCCATTACATTTAGTGGAGGCAGCAGGAAGCTATAATATTGTGTGAGCTGCCAAGAGGAGCCAACTTCTGTCTAACAGTAACAGGTGTGTGAGTTAGATGTGTAGAACTAAAAACAGCTTGTGTTCCTTTGCTACTGCAGCAGATGGAGAGTGGTTGTCTGTGAGTGTGCTGGGTCATATGCAGGCATGATTATACCAATGACAGTGAGGAAGTAGAGAATTTGAGGAACACGTTTTAAGCCCATTTTACATAAACATATCAGTATTTATCTGCCGTATTGAACATTAAAATTTGATCACGAATACAATGAGTCATAGAGGAGAAGCTGTAAGTGCAGCTGGCCAGATTTAGATCATTACTTTAAGTTATGGCATGATGCTGTAGTGGTAATTGCAGTATAATGGGCCATTAGTGTAAATATGGATGTTGTGGCTGTCTGGTAGAAAACACACAACAAAAAAAGTTTATTTTATATTAGCGGTAATAAGAATGATTCTTTATTTGTTGTTTTTTTTGAGGTTGACATTCTGCAACTTTACAAGTTTTCATTACACTCAATTATCCAGATTTATCCATCTTATTGTGACAACAAGATGAGGTGTCGAGGTTCAGTAAATTTAATAAGCTCAGAAAATGATGGAGATTGCCACGTAGACATTTCAAGGCGTTGTGTTTGATTGGGTGTTTGGGATTCATTAGGACAGGTCACTGTTTTTAGCCCGGTCTAATCAGGAAAAAAATGGCAGGCACTGTGTGTCTCAATTAAAGAGTCAAACAGTCCATTAATGTGTGCATCAACACAACCAGTATAAGAAATAATTTAACACAGCAAATAATGTTCTGCTTGAGTGAAAGGGCATCACAGCCCCCCCATCACTATCTGATTGGTATGCATAAAATAAGATATAGGCCTGCCAGCATCCTGTTCTTCACCTTAGCATTAATTGTTAGCTACAGTAATGACTTTGCCCTTCAGAAGTGAGTTGTTCAAGTATATTATGTGAACTTCCCCTACATCTGTGCTGCAGCAGGCACATTGGCATAACACAGCATACAAACACTTTGCACAGGCAGGCTGGGAGCTCAGCCTCAGAACCTTTTTTGGTACTGACTGAAATGTACCTGCAGTCAACTCAATTGCCAATAGCAAACTAAAACACTAAATTACTCTCAGTGTCAACACTTTTTATATTCAGTGTCAACATTTCTAAAATTCTTACTCCACATGGGAA